CTGTGGGCTGTCATTTGTGCTGTGATTTCTTACTAATAATGCTATGTAGATTCTAGGCTTCTCGACTCCGCCTGGGAGGCTCTCCATGATGGCTTTTGTCCTCAATGCACTCACCTGGTAAGTCAGCAACTGGCTGGAGCACACACAGCACTTCAGACGGTTCTGGTGTCTTGAGCTTGTTCTTTCATAACGTTGAACTTAAAGAGAATTCAGCATAGTTTACTGCCTCTCCCAAAACATCTCATGGAAGCCCAGTGCCTGGTGAGCATGTCTGCTGAGATCAGGTTATTCCCTGCTCTTGTCTGGAGAGGAGTGCAGGTGGGAACTGCTGACTCCAAAGGTGACTTTCTAGATACTGGATAAGACATTTGACTTCACCATCTCAGTTAAAGATTAAAGTTAGAATTAATGAGTCTCAGCAAACTGATCTATAAACAGTATTGTACCTTGCACCTGCTGCTGGGCAGAGATTACTGGGGGAGATCATACAGAGGGCCAGTCAGGTTTTTTAAGCTGAAAGCTCATTTCCCTGCCATCATGTAATTAAAATGCTGTAAGCCACTTAAATCTTGCGGCAGCATCTGTAAGGTGAGAAACAACCTATCCCTAAAACAACTGAGAAGCTTTGAAACAACTGAATTAGCAGCACCAATAACTTGTTAGCTCTTGCTGTAACCCCTTTTCCATAGGCATAGTGCAGTTTGTTTATTCATCTGTCTTTACTTTGCAGTGCTCTGGGCTTGCTGTACTTTATCCGGCGAGGAAAGCAGTGCTTGGATTTCACAGTCACAGTTCACTTCTTCCATCTGCTGGGCTGCTGGATTTATAACTCGCACTTTCCCTCGACTCTGACGTGGTGGCTGGTGCACATCGTGTGCACGGCACTGATGGCTGCAATTGGGGAGTACCTCTGCATGAGGATAGAACTTAGGGAAATCCCACTGAATTCTGCTCCCAAATCCAATGTGTAACTTGCTCTGGCAACAACATGCTGCACTGCGTCATTGTTTCCAGCACAAGTACATCTAATGCCTGAAAGTCATCACTGAAGAAGCACAGCAGGTCTGTTGAGACTTTTTTTTTTTTAAGGACGGCGTGAGTGTGAGCATCTCCTCTGTCATCATCAGATAACAGAGGAGGAGAAGATGTTTATTTTATTAACACTAAGCATTTAATGACCGTATGGCAAGCGTGCTCTTAAACTCTTCACTCTTGAGACCGTTAAAAGCCAGGTAGCAAAACTTCACAAGGAGGAGCATCTGGAATTTAATAAATGTGAAAGGTCCCTGTATGGGTACTGCAATAGTCAGCTCGTTTTGCAGGAGCTGGCACTACGAGCAGTGGGGCTGGGAGCTGCTGCGTCTGGGCTGACACTTGTCTGTGCTTTGGTTGGAAAAAAAGTCAAGGAAGTGAATGAATGGGGTAAGAAAGAATATGGCTGTACTTACCTGAATCACCAGCTGAGACCCTAAAAACCTTGTAACATTAGATGGGGTTGTTTGCTCTTTCCACGTTTAATACATAGAGATGTCAGACAGCAGTTTGCTGAAGAAATCTTTTGTAACAATAAAAGTATTACGTTGCTGTGAACACGTGACGGTTCTCCTGGGAAGCTGAGCACTTCAAAAAATACCACGAATGTTTGTATCATGGCAACAGAGGAGGATACAGCCGGAGAAGAACATAATTCGTAGGCTGCCCCCTGTTCCTGCAGTAAATATCTTGTGCCTCTCCTCTGTAATCAGTGCATCTGTGAGTGCTGTCTAGGGAAATCAGCAAGCATAATGCTCACTTCAGGAGGAGTATCAGCAGCCCAGGGCTCCACACGCTCAGTCCTAGGCTGGAGCTGGCTCAGATAAGCCTGCAAAGGTTTCCAAGAGCTGTTCATATTTACCTGGTTCTTTCCTCTGACTGGGGGGGGGGTTGAGAGGGGGGAACAAAAAAAGAAAAACAACCCACAGCAGATCTGATCTGGCTGAGGTGATGTTTATTTCAGGTGAGAAACCGCCGCTTGTTTCCGAGAGAGGTAGGATGTGCTTTCTTCTAGAGGCGCTTCCAGTAACCCCACGCACGGGGCGCTCACAAACACCGGCGTCGCTGCTGTGAGGTAAGGCAGAGCGGTTCCCTCGGGACCCGCAGCCCGCACAAGCAGACCTGCATCCTGCAGGGCGGCCACTGCGGGGCGTTTGGTTTGCAAGAACCTGAAAGGGGACAAGGCGTGTTCTGAAGGAAGAATTTCTGCTGTGCACATCTGGCTGTGGTAGTTTTATTTTGTACGTTAAGGTTTGTAAATGTTAATTTGTGCAAACTGCCTGCTAATTTGGCTTGTTGAGAATTGATGGGATGATTTGAGTTGCAGATGAGAAATTCTTTGAAGTTGCTCTTTTGTGTTACTGGGGGAACCGTATTTCAAGTCCTACTTCCACATTCTGTGAATTTGGGCAGATTGATATCAAAGTGTTTTAAATACCTGGCAAGTTTGTTGCAGAGAAGGAAGTGTTGCAGGTTACATGTGCTTAGGCACAGCTTCTGGTGGTCTGAGATTTCACCAAGACCTCTTCCTGACCAAAACCCCTTAAAGCTCAATTTTAGTGCTATCATATGGATAGCAGCAGTCTTTCAGATGAAGAAGTTAACACAAGTTCAGCTGTCATTTGTTACTGCTTCCCCTCTAACTCTGCTGTGCGTTCAGCAAGGCTTTTCATCGCTGCTCCAGGCTTTTTGGTTTCTCATATTTGAGGATCCTTGCTTTCCTTCCTGTCACGTTCAGCCTAGCAGCAGCGCTCAGCCTTCCAGTAGGTGCCAGTATCTCCTTCTGAAAGGAGATGTGCATGCGTGGTTGGGATCCGGGCAGCAGAGGGCAGAGGACACGCAATGCCTTGGGGCTGCCAGAATCCAGCTCGGAATCGGTTGTATTTTAAGGCTCTTTCAGGGTCATTTTGTTCCCTCTCAGTACCAACAGCAAACAGCAGGGGAAGACATCTCAGTTCCCTGGGAACAGGCAGAGGAAGGGAAGTCGCAGTACCCCCATTCCTTAAAGGAAAATGGACAGCTGACCCTGGGATTGTTGAGCTTGTATTAAAGAGATGCTACCTTCGTTCTCCTGGAAGAACAAGGATGAAAACTTCAGACCAAAGAATGCTTCCTTCCTTACTTTCTGAACGATAAGACAGGCTTTGAGTGCTTCAATGACCACCCCTGGAGGAGGATGTGAAGTTTTGATGCAGCCTTGTGGCTGGAGATCCTTAGGCAGAGCAGGGCCATGAGAAGAGTCCTTGGTGCACCTGGATTTAGTGCTGAGGCTGTGGGACATCCAACACACTGCATTGCATTAGCACGAAGCATGCTATGGGAATAGAAAGGCTTTTAGGTCTGCTCCCTTTGAGAATTAAATCCAAATAGCGCTTTTTTTTTTTTTAAATGAAGAAAACTTACTGTAGTTGTCTGAGTTACAAGGGAAGTTTTGCTAAAAACTACACGCAGATTGAGGAGGGAGCTTCTGAAATTCATCACTGTCATATTGTGAGACCTAGTTTTCACTTGCATACATTCAGTTAGATCTTAGCAGCACCTTTGGCTTTAAGAATTTCTGCTGCTCCATACCTGAATGGTGGCAGATGGTCTTTGCTTCTTAATGAAACTTCTTTTTTTTTCATGTGTGCAATGGAGTTGAAGTATTTGCTTCCAGGGAAGATTTTCCACAGCACCTGCTCTTCTCACAGACAGCAGTAGCATCAGCTAGCCATCTGCAACCAAGGTTTTGCAAATGATGACTTCTAGGAGATCTCTGCTCAGACTTTTACATTCCCCTTCCCCAAAGCCATCCAAACACTGAAAATGTTAAGAGAAGCTGCCAAATTCAAAGAGAAGCTAAGGAAGGGAAATGTTGAGAGCTGTGCTTTGTCCCTAGAGGTATAAAACCCCTATTCAAAACAAAGATAGTATAGTGAGCTGGATACAAAGATTGCAGCCTCAGATGCCCACCTGCTCAGCTTTCCCCCCCCACTACGAACCATAAGCAGAAGAGGGAAGGGAGAACAGCATGGAATAGCATACACTGTTGTTGGAGCAGAGCAGGGAGGAGAACCAAAGCAGCGTTGTGGTTCAGAGCGGGCTCTGCAGTGCCCTGGCTCACCCTTTCTCCACTGCCTGTTGTCAGGCATTGTGCCAGAGATGCTGAGTACATGAATAACTCGTCTGCTGAAGGCCTGGGTTCAGCCTTGCTCTGGAGTGCTGTCTGAACACCAGCTGCTCCTCCCCATCTCAGTTCTTGGAATTTGCCTCCATTCATTCATTCCATCCTGCAGCTGCAGGAGCTGAATGGGTAAATGAGAGAGTAGTAAGAGGAAAAGCATGAGTGCCAGGAGAGGAACACGAGCAGTCATTAAAAAACCCCAAACCACTACTCCTGTCCTAAAAACAAAGCAAGTGCCCTGACATGTGGCCAGTCTGAAAACAGCCAGAGTGATGTGTGACATATTTAGGTAAGGCAGACTGAAATACCCTGTTAGTTAAACACAGACATTTCAAATGTGATGAAAAACAGATGGTTCTCTTAATTAGAACATGAAATTCACAGCCACATCCAGCTGTTAAGCTCTAATACAGAGCGTGATGAAAACCAGCTCCTTCCCCATTCAGGAGTGGCAGTACTCTGCAGGGCATGAACTGAAAGCAGGGGAAAGACCAAGCAAGACTCACTGTGCTTCCCCTGGGAGAACCACTGGCCCCAAGCCACACTGGGTCCCCGTGGCTCCTCCTCCCCTACACAGTAAGGCAGGGCAGGGCTTTTTTAGTGTCCTTGCACACACGACTGCACTGTATTCCCAATAGCAGTCTTTCTAGCATACCCAGAAATTGCATGCAAGCACCTCTCTAGTGCAAATACTTTCTGTGCTTGTACCAAAGCTGCAAAACTAACAATGCTCTGAGCTGCAAGGGGGGCTAGAAGAGGCAGCACTGCAAACAGGAGGCAGGACAAATAGCTTCAATCTCTGCAACAGAATTTAATACTATAAAATTACACACAGTCACCCACAGAGCTGCTTACAAGAACTACTGGGAAAAACATCAAAGCAAAAGAGTTACTTTAGAAAGGTTTTGTCACAGTTGCTTAGCATCATCTCCCCCCCACCCAAAGATTTTCTTGCCTCTTCGTTTCCTTAGAAAAGTGATCTACACATAACACAGGAATTACTTGGGAGTCCAGATATGTGCTAGGAAAGAGGTCATGCACCTGTGGCTATTCTTCAGTGGGGTTTTCAGGGTGTCCTCCCAGAAAGAAAGCCAGCACCTCTGTGCTCTTTGCAGGACGTACACCATCCCCTGCACCTCACAAGTTTCCAGCACCCAAATCAAAAACCTGGAGAGCTGACATTGTGGAAACAGGCAGCTGAACAAACAGGCTTCCATACAAGAGCCATGGAAAGGTCCAAAAAGAATCTGGTATTTGTGACTCACTTCCCATTTTCCCCCAAATCCCCTGCAGGCAGCCAGAGCTCTGCTTGTGCCCTGAGGCCAAAGGGGACAAATGTCCCAAATCACAGAGAAATAGCGAAACCCACGAGATGCTGCTGAACTCTTCAGAGTCTCACAGACACGGGGCAGAGCTGAGAGTCTGCTGGTACTGCACACTGTGTTCCTCAAAGGTCTGGAAAAGCAAACCATCAGAAAGGAGCCCCAGTGTGCTGCCAGCACCTTTGCTGTGATACTTACGGAGCTGGGGTCTATAAGTTCAGCCAAGTGACGATGAGGGGGATGCTAAGAACTGACACATGGGGAATGCAGATACAGGCAAAGCTTTGGGCTGTGCTGGGATTGCAGAGGTCAAACAGGCTGCCTTGGAATTTGATCTTTTGGGACTCCTTCCTCAGCATCTCCCAGATGGCTGCTGCTTCCTTCTGGCACTCCCAGAGAGCAGTCAGGGCACAGACATGAAACTCATCCCAGTACCTGCAGCAGAGAACCACACCATTAATTCCCTTACTGTATCACAGCATGAAGGAGCAGGCAGAGCCCAGTCAACCCTGCAAACATCTACAGCCTCAATATTTCGAGCCCCAGGACGAGCACAGAGAGCAGCCCAACAGGAAACACCCACTCTATTAAGGCTTAAAAGTTCAGCATCCCAACAGGACTTCAATGTAGAGCATGATGGTGCAGTCCTGCTAGCCTAGCACACTCCAGCACTAGTCCTGTGCTGTGTCTGCCCCTCAGCTCCTGCTTACCTTTGCTGAAGAAGCCAGCTGGCTCTGGAGAAGCTGCTTTTGAGCTGTTCCCAATAAGCTCTCTGCCCACAGCTGCAGAGCAATGTGGATGAGCTGCAGCTGCCCCCAGGTGAAGACATCAGGCAGAGCTGTGCCTCCCTGCCTTGCATGGGGAGGACTGGAGCAGGCATCTCTGTTTGGGTTTGGCATGTTGCTTTGTGGAGGTTTATTTAGATTATTTCAGTTGCAGAGTATTTGGGACTAGCAGAGTATTTGACTCAGTGCCAGAAGCAAAGGCTGCTGTATAGTGCTGCACTGTGCTGGGGAGGGGATGATGACATCCTAGGAGATTGCTGTGTGAACAGCAGCACGACAGCATGTCCCAGCACAGCTGAGCTCACAGGTGAGGTCTCTACTTTGTAGATGCAAACCCACAAAATAAACCAGCAGGAGCCTGAAAGTCTCAGCAAATGCCATGGCCTGTGCTCAGCCCTGGAGCCACAGCCCTGGTGACTCCTCCAGCTGGCACGGGCAGCACTGGCTGGCAGAGCTCCCCAGCACCTGCAAGCAAGACCTCAGAACGGTTCACCAGTGTGGTTTGAAGCTGTGGTTTCTCTCAGAATGATAACCTGTCCCCAAGATAGATTAGGCTCTAAGCCATGCTTGCTGCTAACCTTCCCCAGGTCTCCCTTCAAAAAGAAAAGCAGTGGCTCTGCACCTTTGCTACCCAGGGCCCCCAGGCTCACATCCCAGCCCAGCAATGGAGCACAGACCCCAGCACCAGAACAGCACAGCCTGGTTTATTTAAGCGCCCGGTGCTGGAGTTGGCACCTTCCTCCAGACATGCAGATGAGAGAACTTTATTTAGTTTTCTTACCAAGCTTAAGTCAGAATGCCAGCTGTGATCCAGTTCATTAAACAGAGTCACTGTGGCAGAATAAATATCCTGAGATAATGAGAGCCTGCTGCCAGGCGAGGCAGGGGTTTAGCCTGACTCACCCCTTTGGGTAAAGGGTGGCACAAAGCAGCACCCAACCCACTTCTGCTTTTGGTCAGGGATGGCACACTGCAGTGTTTCGCCCCACTCAGCCCCCCCTGCTCAGCTGCTGGGCTGCGGTCACACAGCCCTTAGGGAACCAAGATGTCCATGCTGCTGGTGCAATGCTCTCAGCTCCACTTCCACCCCCAAGTCATGTACCCAGAGAGAGGACTGTGATTCTGGGAAGGCAGAGAAAGGATGGGGTTAAAGGCCAGTCATTCAGAAATAGTTCCTGGCAGGAAACTGGGACGTCATTGTCTTTTTCCTCTGGTCACAGCAGGCTTGTCATGCACTGTCACCACTTCACCAGGACTGGGACAAGCCAGTTCCTGAGCCCCTGCCCCCCTGGGAAGACCCCTTCCTCCATTCCTTCTATTTTATGTCCCTGTTCAAAGCCCCCTCCTACACATTCACCTGCCCTGGAGCTGGAAGTTTCAGCAGAGAAGAATCAGCCCTCAGCAGCCAGACACAGCACACACTGTGCTGCGTGCCCTGCTGTCCCCAATACCAAGAACCCACATGCTCAGAGACACAGTACTGAGAAATTCCCATTGCATCCCAGCATCCTGCCATGTCCTGGGAAGGCTGCACACCCTGAGCTGGTTTTTCTGTGCAGAAAGGGGAAGAAAGAGCAGTACATAGCCAGCTCCCGTCTGCTTGGTGCCTAGCAAGGAGGCAGGCAAATAAACATGAAAGCAGAGGTTCGCACGGCTGTACTCACCCACAGACCCTGTGCAGCCCCTGCAGCTCCATGCTGTCCTCCTCCCCGTATGTGGCCATGCTCTCTCCCAGCTTCAGGACGCAGTCAGAGACCCTTCGGTACACGTTGGTGCAGGCGGTGCCCGATGCCAGCAGCATGGCCAGATACCCTGCCAGCACCAAGGGGTTGGTGTGAGCATGGGACCTCTGGGGGCAACACCCACCTCCTCCCTGGGGTGGCGCAGGCAGGGGACCCCAGCACCCAGATATCCCAGGCACAGGATTTTCCCCGTGCCCACATCTCCTGAATCCAGACTGGACCTGGCTCTCATACTCAGATCCCAACCCAGATCCCAGCCCCGGCCTTACCCAGCACCACAGGTAACGCAGCCGTGCCCCACTGCCGCCCCATGCCACTACCCTCACTCCAGCTCTGGTACCCCATGGCCTGCAGGATCCCCGCCCACCTCCGTGAGGAGGGCAGCCAGCTCTGGCCGTAGCTAATTAGTGGATCTGGCCATGGTTAATTAACAAGGAGGCTGAACCATCGCTAATGAGTGCCCACAGGCAGACCAGTTCTCATTGCAGCCCTTTGCTAGCACTCATGGCTGCATGCAGCCTGCACCTCACATCTAAGCTCCCTGTGCCCATGGACACCATTACACCCCTTTGCCAGCACTCACCCCCCTAGCCTGGGAAAATGCAGCTCAGCACATGGAGCTGCATGGGAAACTGTGGGATTTGGAGTCTCAAGGGTTAAGTGCACCGGGCATCCCACATACACCCCATCCTCTGCTAAGCTTCCTAGACTCATGCAACCCTGCTTCTTCCCACAAACCCTCAGTTGTGTAGCCCTGTCCCTTCCTAGGATTCTCAGCCTTGTGCAATCCTGTCCTTTTCCACGAATCCCTCCTTCGTTGTGCAACTCCATGCTGTGCAGCCCCAACACCATGTGATCCGGGTGCCATCTGCTGGACTGGCCCCGCTGTGCTGTGCACTGTGCGCTGCTCTGTGCAGAGCCGAAAGCCGCTGTCAAACCAGACTGCAGCTCTCACGTGTCACCCCAAATGTGCAGTAGGGCCTTCCAGCAGTGGAGACCTGGGCAGAGTGAGCATTGCTCTGGGTTCATGCTCTCTCCTTGTGCTCTTGCTCTTCATTTGGTGCTTTCTGTGCTTGTCCCAGTGTTGCTCTGAGAGCTGCCATTGCTGTGGGGCTGCAGCCACCCTCAGGCTGTGTGCTTTGAGCCTCCTGGGTAACCCAGTGCATCACTTTGAACAAAGCCTGAAGTGTATGTGGCTTCAAAGCCTTCAACTTCAGCACCTCCAGCTATAAAACATTCTTTGTTGATTCTGGCACCAGCAGCTCCCATTGCTGTAATATCCTTAAGGGGATTACACGGTACTGTGCATCTTTACAGCCTGATCCTGGCTTTTCTCCAATGAGTCATTCTTTGGTTACCCCAGCCCAGATGGGAGCAGGAGGTTTCTGGAACTTTGACAGCATCACTATGGGGGCTGGTGGTGTCTGAGCCCCATGGGCATGAGCACAGCGTGTCCTGGGGTGCCCGGAAGAGAGACCTCCTCCTCTCTGTACACATCTATCCCTGCATCTGGGGGGGGCTGCACCCCAGCATTCTCCATCCCCTGAGTCCAAAGCAAGTAGAAACCTCTTACAGGCACAGTGGAGACTCAAACTAAAAGCAGTTCTGAGGCAGACAGCCAGTGTTGGTAAGGCATAGGCCACCCTCTTTATTCATAGCAGAAGGCTGAGTGCATCACCCCACAGGTCTCCTGGCAGCTCTTCTCCAACTCCTCAGGCAGCCCTGAAAGTTAAGCCAGCAGCTGATGAGCTGTGCTGGAGCTCAGGGGGGTGGCCCTGCTCAGTGAGGACAGTGCTCATGCCAATCAATGGTGGTCACCGGGAGTAATGGATGGTGAGCGTGCGCTCCAGGCTCTCTCCGCAGGATCGGGTGCAGCAGGGCTTGACCCAGCGCTGGGCTGAAGGCCGGCACAGCACTTTGGGGGCTGGCATGTGGAAGCGCTGGGGAAGGGTCCTCAATAAGTCCCGCTTGGCTTCCACAGCTGTTGGTGGTGTGCTTGTCTCTGAGTCCATTGGTGCATCCGCGTTGCTGCTGGTCGAGCTGGTCTCAGCGTTGTCCACAGCCTCCTCCAGCTCTGGCAAGTGGCGACATTCCCTAAGCCCAGACCAAAAAGCATCCTGCATCTGTGCTGCCCAGAGGGGCTGTATGCCAGCACCGGGTGCGGGTGGTCATGGCTCAGTGCACCCAATGGGCTGCACCTGTCTGCACACCTCCATTAAAGCGGAACCCAGCACCCTCCCCACACCACCCCAAACTGCCTCTAATTCACACCCCTGGGCTTTATCCTGCTGTAGTCCTTTCCCAGCAGAGCAGCAGGGCTGGGGCACGGACTCTGCACCCCCACCTACCTGGGGAGCAGTGATGTGATGCCGGGCAGCCCCTGTGCTGTGAGCAAGCGCCAGCAGTGCACAGCAACTGTATGCAGCCGCTGCACCCTGCGGTTTGTGCTCTTCAGCAGCCGAAGCAGCTTCAGTGATTTCAGTGTCTGTGGGGCAGGAGGACAGGGGTAGGGCTCAGAGACCATCCCATGCCCCACAGTCCCTGTGGTGATGCCAAGGGACCCTTACTTTCCAGAGGCGACTTTTCTGCTCCACGGTGCACAGCGAGCAGGGCTTGTCCCTTGGGTCTCCAGCCTGAGAGGGGGAGAAAACAGCGATGGGTCACAGGGTCACAGTTAGGGTTAGGGTGGCACCAAGCTCATCTCAGAGAGCATCCATCTCACTGGGTTGCCCTGGGCTTTGTTGGAGACGCAGCACCCCAAGCAGAGATGCTTAATTTGAGCAAGGGGTGGGCAAATCAGTGGGGCCTTCTCCCAGCTCATGGTATTGCCAAAGGCACATGGAGACCCCAACCCCTCTGATAGGGTCCCCTCCCTGTGATGTTCCCATGGTGGTGGCTCGGGGAGTGCAGTGCCATGCCACAGCGTTGTACCTCCTGGGGTGCAGCTGATTTCATTCTGGGTGCAGCTGATTTCATTTTGTGGCCTCAGATGGCAATGCAAAGCTGTGGGGAGAGGTGCTGGGGGCTGTTCTTGGCACTGCTGGTGGCCATAGTGTCATGGGCTGTGACCTCACTGTTCTGTGACACTAGAATTCCAGTCCCAGCACCCAGCTGTGCAAAGAGAATGGGGACAGCCCTGTAATGGCAGAGATGGATCAACAGATAGACAGCTCAATGGGAGATCAGCTTGATGGAGGGAGAGCTCAATAGGGGTACAGGGATGGAGCAGCTTAAGGGTGAGAAGAACACAGTGGCAAAGAATGCTTGTCTGTACCCTGCGTGTTGGGATGGCTCTTCCTCTGCGGTCCTTCTGAACACCAGCATCTGTCCCAGCTCCACACTGCCCCCAGCCCTGTGCCAAGTGTCTCCTGGCTCCCTGGGGCTGAGGCTGTGTGGTGACATTGACATGACAGGTCCAGTGCTGCAGGGCTCGCTGTGAGCCATGCCTTCACCCAGCTCTGGCAGCCCATTCAATGGCAGTGGTTCCCATCTGAGCGTCCATGCAGCCATCCCTGCCAGCTGGCTTTGTAAGAGACTATACTGTTAACTTCTGTGTCTCAAAGCTTGCTGGGGACACAGATGGACTTGTTCAAGTCCCGAGCAAGGATTGTGAAATCCTTTGTTTGAAGGACACAGATGAACAAGTTCAGGCAAGTCCTGGGCAAAGGTTGTGAGATCCTTTGTCTGGGGGATGCAGATGGACAAGACCAGGGGCGACAAGAGCGAGATGAACTGCAGCTAAATAGCTGTGAAGTGCTCCTTTGTGTGGACTTATCTCCGGATGATGGCCATCTCAGGAGGTACTCAATGACCTTTGCTCGAGGCCCATCCTTGTCACGTAGGCAGGAGAACAAGGAGGATAAAAGAGGAACTGAAAACCATGAGGATAGGTTTTCTGACAACAGATTCCTCATAAAGAACGGGAGGTTTCTGACAACAGATTCCTCATAAAGAACGGGAGGTTTCTGACAACGGATTCCTCATGAAGAACGGGTTAGGTTTTCTGACAATACTGACTCCTCATGAAGAAGAACAGAGGGATTCCGGAAGATTGAGGTGATTCCTGCATACTGGCAAACTCTCCTGAGCCTGCTGCCTGACCGCTGTTGCTGCTTCAAGAATTGGCTCCTCGACTTCCTCGTCTACCTGCCTGCTGCCCAAGGCCGGTCACGCTGCTGCTCCCCGTCTTCTGCTGCGTTCTGCCCGGGACCTTCAAACACCGTGAAACAGGACGCTGCTGGATCCTGCTGGTGACTATCCCCGCTTTACACAACTCCTGCTTCTTTTCCATCTTTTCTATCGCCCTCCTTCCCTTCCCTGTCTCCCTGATTAGGTCTTAGTAATAAACTGGATGCAACAACATATGAACCGTTGTTTCTTAATCTCACACCGGGTATGCAGATATTAAAGAACCTCATCTCCCTTCTATAAATTGGAGCGAGACAGGCTTCAACAGAAATGCAACACATTCTGGTGTGGGAGAAAAGTGCAGGGCTATGTCAGAAACAAGTATCCCCGAGGGGCAGTCTGTAGATCCCGAGGGAGTGAAAAGATTAAAAGAGTAGAAAGGGAACCCCCCCAAATGCACAGGGCAGTCACTGATGCGAGCAGCCATGCCTTGCCCTGCAGCTCTGCCAGATCCCATGCCACCAGCCAGCCATGGGGACGTCTGCAGGGCATGGACCTGGGATGCAGGGACACAGCACTAGGTCAGAGCCCCCTGGGGACCACCAGACCTGAGGACACCGGTGTTCTCTTGGGGCACGGCCAAGAGCATGGCCCTGCTTCCCCCAGTGCTGTGGGAGCCTCATTTCTCAGCAGCCACATTCCTGTGAGGGTGTTTACGGCTTTGCTCTCTCCCTGCTGTCCCAGACTAAAATCTCCCTTTTAAGGAGCCCAGGGAATGCGGCTGCTGCAGCTCCGCAGGCTGCTCCCTCGCAATTTATTGCCTCAGAAAAAAAAAAGCCTTGCCTTGTTTTTCTCTTTGCTCCGCAATTTACCAAACGAGCCAAGCTGTGCCTCACTGCCAGCACTGCCTGTGAGGATTACGATCGATTTTCCCCACGGAATGATTCACCTGCCTAGCACCAGCTCACCTTTCACTGTGCAGCTGCTCCCTCCCCAGCTCCATCCTCGCCTCCCGCCCCACTCGCCCTGACTCACCTCCTGTTTGTTGCAAACCTGTAATAGAAGGGAGAAACCTGACCGGGAGCAGCAGGAGGAACAAGTCACGTTGCATTTTCCCCTGATGACGACCACACTTTGATGCTGGGTCCCCTGAGGATTTTTGGCAGGAGCTGAGTTCTGTGTCCTGGAAAGAAGATGTGTCATTCCCTACCTGGGCCAGTGACCTGCATCTCCTGGGGACACTTCCCAGGGACCAGGGCACTGTGGTTAGGATGGCACAGGACAATGCCATGGGCTTGCCCCAGCAGTACAATTGGGCTCCATCCCTGTGGGTATCAATCAGAGGTTTGTTCTCAGGGCTCCCTACTTCGAGTGGGAACTCTCCATCACCTTCAGTGTCCCTTCTTTCCCCTCTTGCCCTTTGGTAAGGAGCAGGCACGCTTGGTCACGAGTGAAAATCATTATGTGGGGCCTTATCAGTTTAAACAGAATAAAATGAGTGCCCTGCTGAGCTGCACTGCTTGTGCTGGAGAGCTGGGATGAGTCAGGCTGTGGGTGGCTGATATCATGGCTCCCAGCCCCCTCCCAGCCAGGCAGGATGGAGCATACAGATGCCTGCATGTGGGTCCCTCAGCACCACCAGTGCTGTGCCCACAGTGGGGACATGGGGAGCACAGAGCCCCAGGGACCTTGGGGTGCTGCAGGGAATCCTGAGCAAGGGAGCGGCCTCAGTGTGCTGTGGTGGGAAGCGGTGCCAATGGGTGCAGACATTGCACATAGCACAGAGCTGAGCTCATTCCCTGGCCCTACTCTCGCCTTCGCAGCAAGGGTCAGCGGGGGTGGCTGACAGGGTGGGCACACTGCCTGGTGCAAGCCAGGCCTGCAGGTACCCACATCCACACCAAAGCTCACCCCTTGTCACCAACATCACCTGCACGAGGTGACACCAGCAGCTGTGGGAAGCACAGGCAACAGGTCTCCAGCTCTGCCCAGCTTCTAGCAAGTGGGGCAGACAGCAAAGGCAGCGGGAGAAGGATGCAAACAGCGTCCGGAGATTCCTTTTAGCCAGAGGAAAAAATATATATATTAATAATAATAACAATAAAGGACACAGCGAGCAGAGCGTGCATCCTCATCCCTTGCAACGGGACCTCCGCACGGCAGCCAGACCTGCAGAGACCCCGCCGGGCTCCAGCATCCACGCAGCCCCCCGAGCCCCGCGCACCGCCCGCTCGCTGGCACCGCCCCGCAGCACCGAGCACCGCCCCGCAGCGCGGCCATGGGCGAGCGGCAGCCCCGCGCTGAAGCCGGCCCGGGCTCAGCAGCCGCCGCCGTATGTCGGGCGCCGGGGCTCGGAGCCGCAGCCGGCGGCTGCCCGGTGAGTGCTGGGCGAGGCGGAGTGCGGGGGAGCGTTCGGAGGGAGGGGGAGCGGGAGCGGGAGGGGGTCTGCCCTGTAACGTGCTGTAAGGGCTGCTTGCCGAGCGGCGATGCCCCCCTCGAAGTCCTACCAGCCCAAATCCTGGCTCGCCCCGCAGCTGCAGCCTGCTGGTCCGGCTGCTTCGGAAGGGGGATGCGTGGAAAGCCCCGAGCCCGGGATGGGGATGCGCAGTGGGGGCACCTGCTTGGGAAGCGACTGAGCTCGGGGACCTGTTAGCCACAGGACAGGAGCAGAGGCGGCTGTCCGTGAGCCCCCCGGAGCACCAGGTGCCCCCGCACCAGCAGGGTTTAAGGGATGAAGAGAGCGAGCAGAGCAAAGCACGAACAGCGGTGTGGGACGACTGGGAGCCGTAGCCGTCTGCGCGCCGAGCCTTTCCCTTCCCCACGCCGTGCTGCCCTCCCGGCTTTTTCGTCCTCCCGCGGCTGTAAGAATTGAATCAGGGCCCCGTAAATAGCAGGGTCTTATGACACAGCCTCTGCTGGGTAAAAGAGCTCTGGGTGGCAGGGATATTTTTAGTGCTGAGACGCAGGGGATTTGGAGATGCCTTGGAGGAGTGCAGGCGATGAAACCGCTGTACAGAGGGGTTACAAAGTGCCGCGTCCTCCCCGTCTCAGCCCTCCTCGCTTTTCCCAGCGAACAGCTCTGCCAAAACCACCGCTTCCCTTCCACTCTTCTGGTGCATTTCCTCTCACCAAGGCTGTGGTTATTTTTTGCTTTGCTGCGACACGAGGTCAGGAAAGCTGACTGAGAAGGGACCGTGCAGGGAATTCATGCTCAGGCGGCCATGGTGTCCAAGTATCCCATTTCCACGTGCATGACCCTGAACGCTTCTCTGCAGCATTCCCAGCTTTCCACTCCAGCTGCTTCTCCCTAGGCTAAGGGAGCAGAGAGCCCTTGGGACTTACCCTTGCTCTGCCATGTTTTTGCTGGGGCAGGGCCGACAAGAAGAGGCCCATATCTCTGCAGGGTTGCCTGGAGGATACTGTGTCAGTCGAGGAGCTGCATCTTCCCTGCTTCAGTCTCCCCATGTCCTGCAAGCCAGGCAGCTGGGGGTGCCCTGATCCTTTCCAGAAGTGCAGGGTCAGGTTTTGGTCCAGGGCAAGTGCAGGGAGAAGGGCTGAGGTAGCTGAGCTGGATTGCTCCCACTCATTTGTTCTGTAGGGAACAGGGAACCATGCTTGGTGTGACCCCTCATTTGAACTCTCCTCAACCCCTTTTTTCCCTACTGAAAAATAATCTCAGCTCCTTTGAAATTTCTTCAAGGAATTGAAGAGCTGAAGAAAAGGCCGTTCCCACCCCCGTTTGGCTTTGTGCCTCCACTAACAAGCCTTCTCCTAGCCCAAAATACACCCCTTCTATTCACCGGCCCAGAGGGGGTTTTGTACTGAAATCCTGCAAGAAAAGGAGAAATGCAAAATGTGTCCATTTCCCACAGAAATACAGCCAGGCAACAGCAACACGTTCTGCTCCCAGCCTGAGTGAAGGCTTGGCGCCTTTCAGCCGGTGCCCCCTTGAACTCTGTTCTGCCCTCGCCCCATGCCAGCAGCATCCCTGGAGCTTGTCCCTTCCTCACACAGCCCAGCGAGCTGTGAGAGCCGGAAGGATCTGCGGGCAGCAGGGTGCTCGTGGCCCTGCCGTCGAGGAGGGCCTGGCTGTGCATGCAGATAAGCTTCTGGTCCCATGGCTGAGAGGCTGTAGCAATAACCATGACAATAGTAACGAAAGCCAGGCCACCAGCAGGTACTGACAAATCCTCCGCGGAGCACAGGGGCCGCATTGTGCGTGTGAACGTGTCGCTCGGTGGGAACATGCCAGCAGGATGAGACAATCCCCACGCTGGCAGTGGGAGCATGACCGGCCGTCACATGGCGAAGGGCAGCGGCAGGGAACGCTGCTCTCCTTTATGTCTCCAGCCAGCACCGCTGGGGAGCAGCTACACTAGTGGGGCTGTTTGCTCCCTGCGTGCCCGGAAGAGCCCTGGGAGGCGGGGAAGGCTCCATCCCCGACTCTCACCGTGGTCACGGGTCAGGCAGGGCAGAGCTGTGCAGCTGCTGTGTTACGCACATAATAGCAGCTCAGAGCTCGTGCTCAGCACCCCAGCGAGAGCTTGAAAACAAGTTCATTTAAAAAAAAAAACAAAACAGGTCCGGCTAATTCTTCCCACAAGAGAAATCCCGGCATGCCTTCGCTGTGCACCACAGGAATGTTGCCACCAGCACTTGTCCTGGCTGACCCCATCGTGCACTTATCCCATGTATCATGGTGGAGAAGAGAGGGGCAGCGGGAAGGTGAATGGCAAGGATCAGCTGAGCTCATGGCACTACAGGCAGCACCTGCTGGCATTTGGTTTATTTTGTATTTGTACTGGAGGAGAATTTAGAAACCCTCCACCTTACCTTGAAAGTAGGGTATCTTTGGGAAGGTGCTGCAGCAGCACTGGAATGCAGCTATGAAAGCTAAACCTGAACCCTGCTTCTGCCATCACGGCTATCAGCCTGGGCTCTACACCTGTATGGCTGCCCAGCGGCCAGACACAGCAAAGCAAAGGCCCCTTCAGGCAGCCAGGATTGCTGCCCTGGCATTGCCTTGCTGAGGGCCGCAGCTGCTTCCAGGAAGTGTGTGATGGCCAGACCTGAGTGCTCTGTGCTGCATGCAGAATGTGGTTCAGCCGAAGGATGCCCCGGAGAATGGCATGCAGAGGGCACAGAAGCCCTAAAAGAGTTCTGAGATGATGTGACATTTATCCCCAGAATAACACACCAGGCCCACCACCTCCCTCCAGTCTGTGTCCTGCCACTAAGCGTTGCTGACAACCACCTGCTGTCTCTGCCCCTGCTCTACCAGACAGGGAGAGGATGCTGGGCGCTGCCTGCTGCTTGATTCCCTTCACCCCACCCCGAGGAGTGGAGGGTTTGGGCTGTGCTCAGAGCAGGGGATGTTTGTTTGGTTTCCTTGGTTACTGCACTGCCTGCTCCAGTAATCACATTTTCCTTGTGCTGGCTGGGCCAAGAGCTGCAGGGAGGAAATCTGGAACAACTGAGGTCAAACACCAGCCTGGGAGCAGCCAGGGCCACTGGCCATGTGGCATCTGTGGCATTTGGGTCCTTGCCATTGTGGGTACCCAACCCGAAAGGGATGTACCAGGTCCTGGGATGCAGCAACAACTCCCTGCTGCTTTCCTTCAACAACTGCCCAAGGGCTTCTTCACTCCCATGTGAGCCAGGGACACAGGCACCGGCGCTGAACTGCAGGAGGAATTACAGGAATGAAAATGTTTGTGCAGGCAGAAGCCAAGCTGGCTGTGCAAGTAGGGGATGTGAGTGGGGGAGCCTGCGAGCGTGGGTGCGGCTGTATTTATGGCAGTGGTGGCGGCAGGGGGGGCAGTGGGAGTGAGCGTGTGCAGGGGTAACAAGGCTGCTAATGCTTTTTATTCCTTATGCATTCCTCAGCCCAGGAAGCCTGGAGCACTAATGCCAATTCTTGTTCCAGGGAATTTCCCCTGCATGTTAACGTTCACAGACAACACTGATTTGCAGCAAGAAAGATGAATTTTAAACATGTGCTTAAAATGACTGATCTCACATCAACACCCTTTTCCCCCACCATAATTTGCTTCAGCAGCAGTGAAAACAGCGTATGAGCTCCCAGCTCCTGGCTTCCCAACACTCAGAAGTGAGAGCCGACTCCAGCATGGCAAGTGCCACTGCCACTCTTGCACATAACATCCACTCATAGTGACCAGATCAGTGTGCAAAGCAGAGCAGAGAGAACCACCTACCCAGTGCCGAGTGAGCAGACATGGGCAGAAGGGCTTGTCAGCCCGCCTGGCCTGACCCTCCTTGCCTTCTTCCCCAGACATGGAGCCGGGGCAGCGCAGCCTGGATGCGGAGCAGATGCAGCAGCAGCAGCAGTTGAAACTACGGGAGCGGCAGAAATTCTTTGAGGAGGTTTTCCAGCATGAAGTGGATTTCTTCTTCCCCGTGTCTCACCTGCAGCTGGAGCATCGGAGACGTAAGTGCTGTGGGTAGCGGAGCAGGACTAGACATGCTTCAGGGAGCAGGTACAGATTAGAGATTGGCAGGATGTCCTCAGCCTAAATGGCAGCCAGGGACAGCATGTCCTGCACGGACAGGGCACACATGCTGCGTGTGGGTGTGCACATGGATTACTCACTCCACTTAACAAAGGCACTGAACTGGGGTACCCAGGCTGGCTGCCTGCATAGTCACTGGCTCTCCAGACAGCAGTTTGGAGCTGGAACAGGGATTGTGGTGACAGCAGAGTTTTCCAGGGGATGTTTTAAGCAAATGTGATTCTCATTTGGACCTCTTACCAGCAGGTGCAATTTGGTTCTCCACTGCAAGGCTGGCCTCCCATTTTGGAGTTCTTCATGAAATCCATGGGCCAGACAGGCTTGCATGGGCTATTGGTGCTTTTTGCCTGACACTAGCACTCACCTTTTTGCTGACCTCTGTCTCTGCAGCCCCCTTGGGGAGCATTTCCTCCATGGAGGTGAATGTGGACGTGCTGGAGCAGATGGACATGATGGACCTGTCAGACCAGGACACTGTGGATGTGTTTCTGGCCTGTGGGACAGAGGAGAGCAGCGTTTCTGAGCCCCTGACAGGTATGAGCCCTTTGTGGTCCAGACCGGGAGCTCTTCCTGCCTCCAGCATCTTCACCAGCTTCTTCTTCAGCCCTGGCCACTTCGACCTGTCCCAGTGCTCTGTGTACATGTGCACATACACACATCCTCCATACAAAGACAGTCACTTGCTGCTGGTTACCACGAGGTTGGCAAGACCTCACCCTGGGCTGGTCCATGCCACTATCCACCTCCACAGCCCAGAGGTAAAGACCCTGTAAATATGCTGCACTGCAGAAGATAAGAGAGCCCAAGCACAGACAGCCCCATGAGCCAGCAGCAAAGCTGGGCAGACGTCCCACAGGGAAAGCCCCGCATGCCAGCATCTTCCTCCCCACGCACATGTACTGCAGCGAGTCACCAAGGCCAAGCCAGACATTTCCCCAGCACATCCTGTGACTGCAGCTCATGGCCTCACACAGCATGGCTCTGAGCCGTGCTTCACACAAGACAGAGAAGGCTCTGCTACCAAAAATGGGGAAGGAATGCAAGGCAGAGCCCAGAGCCAAGCCAGGGGGGTGAGATGGGGAACGGCTAGAGCGGCCACACAGCTCCCACTGCACCCCAAAGAGGGGTGAAGGAGAAAATGTGGCCTACAGATTAATAACTTGGGGGGGGGGGGGGGGGGAAAGGGGGGGGTTAGCTTTGAAGTTTTTGGGGGAAGAAGCCTCCAGAAGCCTTTTTCTCCCTTCTCTTACCTCTCTCTCCTCCAGGAGCAGATGCCAGCCAGTGCCAAGAGGAAATCACCCTGCAAGTGCCCAATGCAGCTGAGACCAAGTCACGCATTTCTTCCACGTCCTCTGTCTCCACGGATCCCAACAGCCTGGACACCAGCGAGGAGGGGGCTGAGACCCCCGTGGTGCAGTCAGATGAGGAGGAGCTGCAGGAGGACAGTCCTAAAGAGCTAGCAAGAAGCTAGCAGCCAGCTCTGCTCTGCTCCCAGCCTCTTCTGGATGGACCTGCCAGCCTGGAGGAAGGAAAGCTGCTGGCACTCAGTAAACCCCATCCTGGACTGCTGCCTTGCAGGAGAGGAGAGAGAGTTTTCCCCTCCTCTCCCTCTGCAGGTTTTCCTGGCATCCAAGGGAGAAGCAAATGGGTATTGTAGGCTCCCAAAATTAACTCTTCAGGCTTTGCTGCTAACACTCCCTTGCTTCATTCCCCTCAAATGCTCAGCATCCCACAGCCCCACCATTCCCAGAAACCATCCCTTGGGATCCCAGCTCCCATTGTCCCACTGACAAACACCCTATCCAGACAAGCATTTAACAAAGGCATACAGAGAAATAACACTCCTATCTAACCAAGCAGTGGGTGTGTGTGTTACTGGGAGAAAACAGCACTGGGATGAAGGTTAGGTGGGGATTGCAGGAAGGAGAGAACTCTAAAGCAAGTGTGCTGGGAGTGCACTTGGGAGCAAACTAATACAGTTCTCCTGCTATGCATCCCAGCTCCAGCACAGGGTGAAGTCCTGCATGCAGGAACAGGCAGCACAAACTTCTGTTTGCTCTGCAAAGCAGGTCATGTGTGGACAGGCAGGTCACCATGCAGTGCTGCATCCATGAGGCAAGCAGCCAGAGGCTGCAGCATGGCACAGCTGACCTCAGGAGATTTGCTGGTGACCTGTAACTACCAGGATGATTTCCTACGCAAACTGGCTGACAGAGTCCATCAGCACACACAGCATCAGCTGCTCCTCCAACATAGTACAGGATCATCATCCTGGCTGGAGGCTGATTTGGAGGAGTGAAGGAGGAGCCATTGCAGTGGAGCCCTGTTGCAGCTTGCCTCATTGGCTTCCTGTGAGCCAGGACAAGCAGGGCCTACTACCTCTATCAGCAGATGTAGGCCAGGAAAGTGCTGTCACTGCCCCCGCTGCGTCAGCAGAGCCACAGTCAACCCACAAGTGAAAGAGTGTGGAGATAAGCAACAGGGATGTAGGAACACTGTGTACTCAGCTGTTCCCCAGGGGAACGTTCTTGCCACGCTGCAGGCAAGCAGTCCTGCACAGAGGGCACTGCATCTCTGGGTATGAGGAGCTCCATCATGGCCCTGTGCCAGCATCGTCTCAGTGCGGCCTTCCTCCTGAGATTAGCACATGGAAGCAGCGTGCAGACGAGCCCACTCCCAAAGGAATCTGCTGCCTGCAGGACAGACACATCACAGGGAGACCAGAAAGCAGAAGGGCATTCCGAGGAGAGGGAACCGCAGGCAGTGAGGGCAGCGCTGGGCCTTGAGGACAGTCCTCGCAGAGCCCACAGACGGCAGGAGCAAAGGAAAGCTCTCAGAGGAGAACCCAGGCTCCTGCCACGCGGGCTATATGCATGCCGTCGCCACTGGAGCCGGCGACAACTCACTGCCCTGACCGGGCCCGGGCAACGAGACGGGCGCTGCCCACACAGCGCGCCACAGCACACAGGCAGCATCGCCGACCCGCACCTCCGCCGCGACGCCGGAAGCGGGCGCCATTGGGCAGCAGGACCGGAAGCGGAAGTAGGTGGGCGGGGCGGGCGGCCATGCTGGCGGCTGGGCTGGTGCTGCTGCTGGCGGCGGGGCTGGGGCAGGGGACAACGCGGGGCGTGCTGCGGGAGGAGCTGCTGCTGCGGCCTCTGCCCGTGGGGGACGTGGCCGCCGTTTTCCAGTTCCGCACGCGCTGGGACGCCGACCTGCAGCACGGGGCAGGTAGGGCGGCGCGGTGACGTCGGAGATGCGGGTGTGACGTCACGTGGGAGGGTGTGCGACGTCGCACGTGCTGTGGTGACGTCACGCGGGGTCGAAGGTCGTGTCGCGCCACGTACCGATAAGGGAGGCGAGGCTACTCGGTGCTGATGCCGTGGGGTGCGGTGACACGGGAACAGGGCTGCGTGATTACATGGGGTTGATGATGTCAGCAGGCGGAGGCGCGGTGTCGCAGCGGTGACGTCATGGCATTCACACCCCCGTAGTCTCTCACTACAGGCTCTTCCCGAAGGCGCTGGGGCAACTGGTTGCGGCACACGGCGTGCAGGAGCTGCACCTTGCCCTTACACAGGGCTTCTGGAGTACCCAGAGTTGGGGGCAGCCGCCCCTGGGGGCCCCTGCTGGCGCTGAGCTCTGGGTCTGGTTCCAGGACACCGTCCCTGAGTACGTACCTCCAGCAACCACTGCATCTATGGGATTGTAGCCTTGTCCAGGCGGGATGCAGGGCTGCAGATGGAGAGCAGGCAGCACATCTGTCCCTGCAGCATGGTGTCCATAGCTTCCTCTCCTCAGAGGTACTGCTTGCTGGGGCTCGCCTTCAGCTAGAAATGGTTTGATGTCAGGTGGAGTGAAGGACCTGTAAGAAAGGAGCAGCTGTAAGGAGAAACAGAATGGACCAGTGCTCAGTCTGAAGAGCAGAGTGGTGCAGGGAGAGAAAGCTCTTGTTCACTCAAGGAACAATTCCCTCTTGTCTCTGTGATGACAAAGCTCTGGCTGTGGTGGCAGGGTTACACCCCAAGCTCTTACCCATGACTCACTTCCTCTGACTCCTATACACTATCTGTCACCATTCCGTGTCTCACGTTCCCTCTAGCTTGGCTGCAGCAGCTCAGTGTGGATTCACAGAGCTCTCTCTGTCCTGCCATCCCACTGAAAGCTGCCTTAAGTTGCCCCATCCAGCCCCCACCACTTGCTCACTGCTCCCCCAGTCTTACGTACCACTCACTGCCAGCCCAGCAACTGCCCCTGCAGTAAACACCCACATCTCATGTGTCAGAACAAAGCACTGGGAGGGGTGGACAGTGAGTGACCAACAACCTGAAAGCTCCTGAAAGCCAGTGTGGTCACTGCAGTATGTTATTGGATGTTACTGAATTAACACCTGTTATTCAGAGGCTCCAAGCTAATGAGTAATCTTTGGTGTCTGTTCTCACGCAGTGTTGACAAAGCCTGGAAAGAACTGAGTAACATCCTCTCGGGAATATTCTGTGCTTCTCTGAACTTCATTGACTCCACCAACACAGTCACTCCAACAGCGTCCTTCAAACCCCTGGGTGTAGCCAATGGTGAGCCTGACCCACACATCTGAAGAGCTGGCTTTGTGCACTGACTCTTGTCCCTAGCCTTAGTTCTACTGCCCCCATGGCACATCTGGGTGCAGGTCCTGCAGGGACTCCTGCACTAGCAGTGTTTTTTCCTGCGTTGATGTCACTGTGATGAGATATCCCTAGAAAGGGAAATCCTGTGTCCGTGAACAAATACCAGAGAGGCTGGTGCTGTTCTAGCTCGCTCAGGAGAACAAGTGTTCCCACTGTTTCCTATCAGCTAACCTTACTTCAGCAGCTGGCAGTGCCCTATCTGAATACAGACATATGTACAGTGGGGATTGCTAACTTGTTGGAAGCATTTCCTCTCCCTACTATTGAAGCTTATATTTATGCAGAGGAAACCCGAAATAAATATGTGGCAGGTGCTTGCAAGCCCTTAGCTATCTCTGAAACATGTTTTACAAAGCATCCAGTGAGAACTGCAGGATTTAAGGCACTCTGAAAAAAAATCTGCAAAGAAATACCCTTACTTTAGTCTTTCCAAATCACTCTGAACAAGTAGGATCTATTTCTGATTGAGATTGTGGCATTTTAGGCACCTTCAAAGGGTGCTGGGCTCTGAGGTACACTAGAGAATGGAACTGGTCTGCTTCTGCAGCAGAACAATAGAATCATTAAGGTTGGAAAAGACCTCTTAAGATTGTCTAGTCCAACCATCCACCTACCACCGATGCTGCCCACTAAACCATGTCCCTAAGTGCTACATTTACACTTTCCTTAAACACTTCTAGGGATGAGGACTCTCCCACTTCCCTGTGCAACTTGTTCCAAACTCTTTCAGAGAAGAAATTCTTCCTAATATCCAATCTGAACCTCCTTTAGCACAACGTGAGGCCACTGCCTCTCATCCTATTGCTATTACCTGGGAGAAGAAGCTGACCCCCAACTCTCAGGGAGTCGTAGGGAGTGAAAAGGTCTCCCCTGAGCCTCCGCTTCTCCAGGCTAACCAGTCCCAGACTGCTAACTCTCCACTTCCCTACACAGGGACAGATCACCGTCTCCTGCGATATGCCGTCCTGCCCCGGGAGGTGGTCTGCACAGAGAACCTCACACCTTGGAAGAAGCTGCTGCCATGTGGCTCAAAGGTAATGGCGAGTTCTGTTCCAGCACTGGGATACACTCTGTGGAGCTAGGTGCAATTCAGTAATGTGCACAAGGAAGTCTCAAAGCCTTGCAGAGAGCAGACCACGGACTGAGTTTTTCCTCTTCCCCCTGCAGGCTGGTCTGGCTGTGCTGCTCAAGGCTGAGCGGTTGTTCCACAGCAGCTACCATTCGCAGGCAGTGCACATCCGCCCCATCTGCCGGGTAAGCATCAAGCTCAGTGGCTCCCTCCTGCTCCTCCCGCTTTGCTCCAGCAGCTGGGCAGTGCAGGGTGTCTCATGGCCACTTGGTGCTCTACAAATTGAGGAGAATTCAGTTTTAGCAAGCTTTAACTGGTGCTGAGTTGTAGGAAGCTTTATCACTCCCTAGGGAAAACTCAGGGAAAACTAGCCTCATTGTTGTGACTCTGTTCAGTGACATGATTTTGGCCACCTCCCCTGCAGTATCTCACACTTTTTCTGGTCTCATGTGTGCCCTGATGGGACTCTTGCAGTCCTTCTGTCTTGCCTTTCCAGAAGGTGTGATTGAAGCTATCTCTTCCACAGGATGCTTCCTGCCTGGCTGTTTCCTGGGAGCTCAGGCAGACACTCACTGTGGTCTTTGACAGCTTTACCACTGGCCAAGGAAAGAAAGGTAAGCTCAGCACCACTATGCTGTGCTCCCTACAGCCCAGCTCAAACCATCCATCACTGCATTTGCCTCCCACAGATTGGTCCCTGTTTAAGATGTTCTCTCGCACCCTTACCGACGCGTGTCCTCTGGCATCAGAGAGCAAGGTCTACGTTGATATCTCTCCTAAGAACAAGGTAACACCCATGGATGAGGGAGCTTCCTGCTTTCTCAGTTCAGTGGCACTGAAGCATCCTTGCCTCTTACATCAGGGACTGAGCTCAGAGGTGTCAGCAAGCGTGCTGAACTGGTTGTTGGGTGGGAAAGCTCAGGCTGGCTGCTTCTGAGTAGGGTTTTGCCCAGCACCACAATTTATTTCAAGAGCAATTTTTCTTTGCATGGTCCACTCGCTTTCTCAGGAAAAAGAGTTACTGGAAGTGACCCCCACACCAACATCTGTACACGAAACAATTGTCCAAGGAGACAAGACAACATATGCAGTCTATGACCTGCTCAGCCCTGTGCTCTTCAATACATCTCGTAGCCTCAATGTGCAGCTGAAGTGGAAGCGGCCTGAAGACAGCTGTGAGTGATCACAGCGTTATCTCCTCTGCACTGCTGGCCAGGGCTGCGGGCCCAAAAGCTCCTGTCATCAGCCTCTCATTCCTCTTTCCTTTTCCTTTCTGCAGCGGAACTGTCTACACCCATAATGCATGCTCAGCGCTATGTAAGTGGGTATGGGCTGCAGACTGGAGAAATCAGCACGCTCATCTACAACACTCACCCATACCGTGCTTTCCCTGTGATCCTGCTGGAGACTGTGCCATGGTATCTGCGACTCTATGTGCACACTCTGACTATCATAACCAAGGGAAAAGAAAACAAGCCAAGTAAGTAGACATTCCTGGCAGCATATTCCATCTGAATCCCTTGGCACAAGCAGCACATTCCAGAGATGGTTTAGTTCCCTCCCTTGGACCCAACAATAACTGGGTAACATGCCTGGGAAATGAAATATCTTACGGTGTTTTCCCAGCCTTCAGTCTATCACTCAAGATTTGCTTTTAATAAGTCTGTCCTATAGACTCACGTGGACAGTGTTTCATAAACCAGCAAGATGCTGAACCAAAGCAAATTGATTTGGGCAGTAAAGGAACCTTAATTTAAAATTGTTGACTTGATTACATTTTACATTTTTACCTTTCTTTTTGAACACTGACTTTCATGCGTCATCATTGCTGAAGACCAGCCAGATTTAGCTTTAACATGTCTTTTTTTACCCGTGCATCTTCACTTGCCCAGAAAAACTCTTGCCAAGACAGGGGAAGCAAAATTATCCACTCTGTGGAGATCTCTGGGCAGTGTGAGGCTGGACATTCCCCTGCCATTCCTCCCCCCAGCCCATGCCACTGATATGTGTCTTTGGGGTTAGGTTATATTCACTACCAGCCAGCCCAAGACAGGAAACGACCTCACCTCCTGGAAATGCTGATCCAGCTTCCAGCCAATTCTGCCACCAAGATCACAATTCAGTTTGAGAGGGCTTTACTGAAGTGGACAGAGTACCCGCCTGACCCTAATCACGGCTTCTACGTCAGGTAAAGTCACCTCTCAGCTTCTCATTTCCTTCTGGGTTATGTGCAGCACTTGCTGCCTGGGTTTCTGGGGTGGGAAGAACTTTTGTTCTCTTCACTGGCAAGACTGACACCAATATATCCTTTGTCTTCTTAGTTCATCTGTACTTAGTGCCCTGGTGCCCAGTGTCATCGCAATGAAGGATGTGAATATGGAGGAGAGTCCACTCTTCACCTCACTGTGAGTGTGCCTTTCTGCTGGGAAGAGGGAATGTGCTGCAGGCCTGCTGCAGCTGTCATCCCATCTGGGCTTCACCAACCTGCAAAACCTCAGGGGTCCTGGAGGTGTCTGTGGTGTGTCAGGGGTCCTTGTGAGGGAGGCAGCTACAAGAGGCAACTGCTGGTGTAGGTCCCCACTGCCTCTTCTGTGATTTCCTATGGGATTCAGAGGTCTTCAGGAGAGCCTGACCCTAAGGGGCTGTGAGCACTTCCAGAGCCACGCAGGCCTGGGGCTGAACAGCACAAAGTCTGTCTTGTGCAGGCTGACTCCTGCTTCCCTTCTCCAGGTTTCCTTCCTCCGATGGCTCCAGCTATTTCTTGCGCCTGTACACGGAGCCACTGCTGGTGAACTTGCCAACACCAGACTTCAGCATGCCCTACAATGTCATTTGCCTGACGTGCACGGTGGTGGCTGTGTGCTATGGCTCCTTCTACAACCTGCTAACTAGGACATTCCACGTGGAGGAGCCCAGCCGTGGAGGGCTGGCCAAGCGGCTGGCCAATGTCATCCGCAGGCTCAGGGGTGTGCCGCCCATCTGAGAGCTTGGGGCACGGCCCTGGGAGGAGCAGAGCCCTGCTGCCTCCTGCCTTTGCTGCCTGCATCCCTCTCCTGGGTCCTACAAGCTAAGGGATTGCTTCTGTAATTAAGGTGGGAAGCAGCTCTAAGCTCGTTAACTACTGAACTGCACTTGTACAGGGTTAGGAAACGTGTTAAGTATTCTGTTTGGGAGAAGGGGTAATTTATGTGCAGGGAATTATGCTGAAAGTAAACTTGAGCTGTTTTGTACATTTGTGCTGCTCCTCTTTGGGTTTGTTTCCTGACACCACAGGCAGAGGGAGCCCCGTGTGCTGTGGGGCTGCAGCAAAGTGCTGCAGTCAGTGGGAGCAGATGCAGAGAGCTGTAGGGCAGCACAGGGATCAGAGGTGGTGCCACCTGCTCTGCCACAGTGCCACATTCCAGTGCCCTCCTTCCAGCCTGTACCACAGCTGAGCCACTTTACAAACGAACCATCAATTGTGGGCACTAAATTGCCTGCTTGTCCCCTCTTTCACCCCCAGGGTTCACTTGCCAGCTCAGAGCAGCCATGAGCACACAGAGCCTCACTTGGCAGATTTTGAACCACTGCCCTCCTACAGCAGCACAGGATACCTCTCTGCTGCCCCCAGGCACCATTCATACTGAATCCGTGCATCTCTGCGTCTGCACTGCAATGCCAGCACTGGCCCAGCAGTGCCCAGCAGCACTGTGTGCACACAGCAGGGCACCATTCTGCATAGCACTTCAGCTTTGCTGCCGTTAGCAGCCTGCGTCCACCCACCGCGCATGCGCAGTGCTCTCAGTGCCTCTTCCACCCGCCGCGCATGCGCAGTGCTCTCAACTCGTCCGCCACCTGCCGCGCATGCGCAGTTCCCGCTCCGCGCGGCTGCCCGCGGCGCCGCCTGACGGAGCGGCCGCGCTGCCCCCGCCGCCGCCTGAGCGCGGCCCGCGGCGGAGCCGGTGCGGGGCGGCGGGGCCGGGCCGGGGGAGGCGGGGAGGGAGGGTGGAAAGGTCCCCGGGCGGGCGTCGGTACGCGGCTCCAAATCGGCCTCTCCTATCCCTCCGCAGGGCGCGGCGCGTGGAGACGGCCCAGGGATGGCGGCGTGAGGCGGCGGCACCGCGCCGTGAGTACGGGCCGGGCCCCGCGCGGGGGAGGGCAGGCGCCGCCGGCCGGGCCGGAGCTGGGCGACAGAGGGCGGGAGGGCAGGCGGAGGAGCGCCGTGACACCGGCGGGATCGGGCCGCCGTCGGCATAGCACTTTGCTTCCCCGCCGCTCTCTGCTCCCCTTTCCCTGTAGCTGTGCCGGGCGGCCCTCCCGGCACTGAACTCTGAAGGAGCCCGCTGCCAGAACAACCCATCTTACAAACGTGGAACGGCTTCTGCCTTTCCAGCCTGTGTGTCACGGCTCCCCAGAACGCGCTGTGGGTTTGCCTCGATTTGTGAGGCAGAAATCTGAGCCCTGTATTCACGCTCACACATCGTGGTGTCAGAGGTACAAAGAGGGGTTCCTGAGGGGATCCGAAAGAAAAATAGTGGTGTTCTTTAGGGAATGTAGAATAGGCCAGGAATTTTATGGTTATTGGCAAGTTAAGGCCAAGGAGGTGGAGAATAAGATCCAGGGATAATTAAATTAGTGCAAAGGAGAATAGCAGCATTTGACAGTTGTTGCTGTTAGCTCTAGCATAGAGCTAACTGAGTTAAGGTTCTGCTTCTGTGATTTCCCGCTCTGAAAAACAGCCCTGCCATCCTCTCTCTCCTGTCCAGAGGTTCATCGGCTGCATATTGGCTTTAATTGTGCTGCTGTCCGAGCAGGCAGGTCTGCACAGTAACTGGACACTGTCTGATCAATTCCCCAGTGAAGTAACGAAGCTGTGAGAGCAGCCCTGGAAATGGTAACAAGTGTCTCAGCAGATCTCTGCACTTTCCATGAAAGGATTGTTGCTGTGGATTGTCTCTAGCTTGAGAAACCAGAACACTTTGTAACCCCTGAGGCTTGATTAATCAAGGATTTGCTGCTCTTTTGGAAAAGCGTTTGCAATTCTATTGCACCATTTCTGAGTCTCCACCAAGTGTTCCAAGGCATGAACTTATCAAAGAATGGCATAAGGCTTTTGCCAGAAATGGAAGGCTCACTTTTTCCAGCTGAGTCATACTGGCAGATAAACTTAAACTAAAAAAAAAAAAAAAAAAAGAAAAAACAAACAAAAAACACAGAAAAACAGCCGGAATTACCAGAATAAAAGCTGACATTAAATCTCTGATATTACAGATAGGTCTTAAAAGTTTGAACAGTTGTGGTTCTTGGTTATTCTGTGTGTCTGTTTTTAAGAGATAGCACTGACATGTAGAATGCTGGGCTGTTGTTTTTCTTAGCTGAAAATAATAATAAAAAAAATTGTCACTTAATAGCTCCTCCACCTCTTTCTCCCCAGTGCTTTGGATATTGTATTTAGCAGCTGTTTTGGACACTGGACAGTATTTGCAAGTTGATTTTAAACACATGCTGGCAGCAGGAAGCTCTGCCCACACACATAACTTAAAGCTGCATGGCTGCAATGAGGTTCTGGATCTGAACTGTTTTAAGCAAACTGTGCTATAGGTGAGCCTTATGCACAACAAACTCAGTGCACATCCCTGAGGCACACTTTAAGTGTACACACACTTTAACTTGGGAGATTTTTATCTAGATATGTGGCTTTTGGTTCCCAAGCAGGAATTTGAGCTCCTGGGAGAGGGGTAAATGGACTGCTTAAGGAGTTAAGACGTTCTCAAGAAAGATATTAACTCAGTTGTGACACACTGATACAGGAAACTTGCTGGGTATGAGCACTTGTCAGCCTCACAGTTTCTGGGTTAGCTTGTGGAATACCAAGGAACACCTTGCTAGCTCCTCACATGGATTTAATACTGCAAAATACTAGACTTGTGAAGGGCCACAGAGATGATCAGGGGGCTGCAGCACCTTCCCTATGAAGACAGGCTGAGGGAGCTGGGCTTGTTCAGCCTGGAGAAAAGAAGGCTGGGGGTGACTTCACTGCAGCCTTCAGTACCTAAAGGGAGCCTACAAACAGGAGAGGAATCAACTCTTTGAAAGGGTAGATAACAGCAGGACAAGGGAAAATGGTTTGAAGTTGAGGGAGGGAAGATTGAGGTTGGATGTCAGGGGGAAATTCTTTACTATGAGAGTGGTGAGGTGCTGGAACAGCTGCCCAGAGAGGCTGTGGATGCCCTGTGCATCCCTGGAGGTGTTCAAGGCCAGGTTGGATGGGGCCCTGGGCAGCCTGGGCTGCTGTGAAATGGGGAGATTGGTGGCCCTGCGTGTGGCAGCAGGGTTGGAGATTCGGGATCCTTGAGGTCCCTGCCAACCCTGGCCATTCTGTGATCCTGTGACTTGTCCTAATTAATGCTTTGTTTTTCTTTCTGGGTGGGAAAGGTGTGCCTGTCTGACTGCATAAGAATCTGAAAGTCTTCCCCACAAACATGCCAATAAGAACTGCTGGATTTGAATGGTCTTGGGAGGGAGGGAAGATGAGAGAAGGAAGGACTCTGCACGCTGTGGAAACTGATTAATAGGCATGTGGAAAAGCGTCGGTGTTTGCTTACTAACGAAGTGTGCAGGGAACCTCCCCACACTGCAGGAAGCGTTAGGGAGGAGGCTGCAGCAGCGCCTGGAGATCTGAGGGGAGCCCAGAGTGCTGGCAGCGGGGAGAGCAGCAGGAGCATCACGAGCTGTGCTGCCGAGGGGGCTGGAGCAAGTTGGTGTGGCTCTGATTGCTGTGGAGGAGCCCGAGGTGCTGCATGAAGAGGAACTGATGGTAAACTCAGCAGCAGCCAAGTCAGATGACTCGAGCACTCCTGAGGATAGCAGGACAGCGGGCTGCTAAAGAATGAGATGAGTCACACGGGCAGGGGAGAACGAGAGCAACTGGTTGAGGGAAAGCAGGGCGCGTTGTGAAACAGGGTGCTGGTAGAAGCGCTGTTAGCCGACAGGTAATTATTTGTTCTGGGACACGGTAATCTTTTGCTTGGATCATGAGGAGGGGACAAAGAAAGCAAGGGAGGAATGTCTCATTTGCAAGTTTCACCAGCAGTCTGTTGCTTGAGAATCCAGGCAGAGCTGCATAACCTGCGTGCTGTTACGGCTTTGAGAAGGGACTCTCTATCCCGGATGCTGAGGGAGTGATTCTTCCCTGTTCGGTGAAGAGCTGACAATGGGAGGCACCATTTCTCTGCAGGAAACCCTCAGCAGGAGGAGAATTGATCGTTTGGAAAGAGAACTTTATCCCTCTGCCAGCAGTATAAAGGACTGCGCTGAAGAGTGGGGAAGAGCACGAGTCTTAATTGTGGAAAATCCCACAAGGAATACAGGGGTGTGAAAGTTTCAAGTAGCAGTTACCTTATCCAGGATCAGCTGTGGGATCACATAGACAATGTTTTTTTCAGCCCTTAACTAGTGTAGAGTTAAGAGGCATGGAAAATAAGAGCAAACTGACTACAGATACAAGACTAACTGTTCAAACATCTGCATTTGTTTGAAGTGTAAGAGTTCTGGAGATGCGAGGGCACTGACATAAAACTTCATAGTAAAGAAAGACTGTGAAGTGTTTCTTTGTTCTGCAGAGTGGTTTTTCTGATTGCTGCAAGCAGCTGGCTCTTCAGGAAGTACCCATATTTAACAGTGATTAACTTGGTGTGAGGCCTGTGTCTGTGCTGGGAAAGAGACTGCAGGAAACTTCAAGGAGAGAGCACTCTGGAGGATGGCTGGAGATGGTTGATGCAGCACAACTTGACTTACTGGAGGCAATGTGGTCTCTGCCTGAGCAGGACAGGAAATAGAAGTTGGGGGAGTGGGGTTCATTTATCATCTGTTCAAATCTCTGTTGAATCTTTTCTCAGAACAATTCCCAGTTAAGAAGTTACCTAATGATTCAGCAGTGCTTTTCTCTCCAGAAGCAGCTAACTGATTCACAGAGGCCAGCAGACAGCTTTTTTTGCTATGGAATGAGTAATTGTTATTCCCAGTTCACGGATGAGGAAAACTGGCGTGGGACTGGACTTGCCCTTGAAGATATGAGGAGATGAGCTGCACAAGACAGGACCAGCACTGAGATTGTATTCCTGCAGTGTTACTTTAGCTACACTGCAGTGTAAAATAACTTCTTCCCTATTCCTCTGGCTGCCTAATTGAACCCCAGCTGCCCTCTGCAGGAGAGCACTCTCTAGCAGGACAGGCAGCACAACATGCTTCCCCCGAATTCTCTTAATCTGTTTGCTCTGGAGATTTTGGCCTGTGCTGTTTTCCACTAACATTAGAGGAGATCCTGCTGCTAGGTGCACAGTGGATGGCAGCGTGCTTCCTGCTCCTGACACCAGGGCTGCTTGGTACCAAGGAGCTGTGAGACACAGGCCTGACCTCAGTGGGGGTTTGGAAGAGAATCGTGTGGTTTTCTCTTGGCTCTTCTGTGCGCTCCCTCATTTGCTCTCGCAGTGCCAGGAAATCCCTTCTTGTGCCAACAGGAGCCAGAGGAATGTGCTGTTTGTTTACTTTCTCACTCTTTCATCCTTCTAACCTTCCCACACCCTCGGCTCTAATCCTAACAGGCTCAGCTCAGCCCTTCATCCCTCTGACAGCACTGCTCAGCTGAATATTTGCAGAAAAAGGATTGCAAGAAAAAAGCTTATTCTGACCAGGATCTGCATAGCTGGAGCAAGGCTGGGCTGTGCTCTTGCCTTTATTTCTCTGCCTTGGCTGGCAGCTGCCTCACTCAGTTGGCTGCATGTCACCATGATGTACCACAGGATAACAGGGAAGAGCCCACTTCTCAAGCTCTGCTCTCTTTCAGCACTCCCCTTGTATAATTATTAGGGTAGTAAGCTCCATGTGCCCCATCTCATTCTTTCCGTGCTTCTTAAACTGAAGGAAATCTTGTCTGTTATTTTCCCCAACAATATCTATATCTTCTAATGCTGCTTTAATAGATGGCTGAACTCTGTTCTTTTGCCCTCTTTCAATAATTCTGTCTTGGTGAAAATATATCTGGGGCATTTTAATATTTTAAAGCTCTCCAGAATTCTTGAATGAGTACGTTTGAATTGCTTAGAAATAAAAATCAAAACAGCACAGTTGATCTAGTTGCTAAAGATAGAAGTGTATTTTCTGGACCTCTGGTGTGCTGCCATCCCTGGTTAGCAGCCCTTGAAGCTCACTGTGTCCACAAGGTTTTATGATAATCCAAGGGAGGAAATCCTGTGTTTACTGCACTTACGAAAATTGCCATTTTGAGATGGTCCTCTCTTTGATTCATTTGCATACTTTGTCTTATCTGACTTGAGCTGATTGGCAAGGATTATAAATCCCTTAAGCAGGGACTGTCCTCCCCTTTGTTTTACAGCACAGGGCTTTCCTGGGCAGCTGCATGCCTAGACTGCTTTTTTCTTTTGCTGTTTAAGACATCAGAGTGGGTCTGCGCGTGGGGAGGAAGCAGTTTGTGTCCTTAACACTTCCTATAAGCACAGCTAAGCACCAGACCTGCCATTTTTCCCTTCCTTTGTACCACCTATGAGTGTTGCCACTCAACTGCATGTTTTTCCCATCACTTTTAGGCTTCGGGCAGCCTCGGATAAATGTATGTGTAAGAAGGGCTGCAGTTTTCTTTCTGTTGTTTCCTCTTCCACCTTTTTGTGTCTGCACTGCACTAAAGAAAAGCATCAATCATTACTCAGGGTAAAAGCCTAAGAAACAGAGCACAGAAGGGATACATTTCTATATCAGCAATAGAGAATCTCATCCCCAGCTGTGGGCTTCAGAAAGCAGAGTTTCTACCAACGCTGAGACACACCAGAGTTTAGTACTAGGAGCTGAAACACCAGCAGCATACAGTGCTTGAGTGAGCCGTAGAAGAGCTGCTGTTGGCCCGTTTGCTGATTGTCTGCCTGTCTTTCTCACCTCCCCCCTACAGGACAGCCCACCTGAGGAGCTGCTGGAGACTGGAGCACCGACTGCTGCTGCCACAAGGCCCCGCCAGCCAGACACGATGTACTGCCTCCAGTGGTTGCTGCCTGTCCTGCTCATCCCCAAGCCCCTCAACCCAGCCTTGTGGTTCAGTCACTCAATGTTCATGGGCTTCTACCTGCTCAGTTTCCTCCTGGAACGGAAACCTTGCACAATCTGTGCCTTGGTCTTCCTGGCAGCTCTGTTCCTCATCTGCTACAGCTGCTGGGGGAACTGCTTCTTGTATCACTGCACAGGATCCCAGTTGCCAGAATCAGCTCACGATCCCAGTATAGTGGGCACCTAGGAAACTGTTATCTTCCAGTTTGCTGACAGCTCTGGTTTTGCTTTTAATTGGGGGGGGGGGGGCCTCGGGAACCGGGTGGGGGTGTGTTAGGCATGTGGTTGAAGTAAAAACAGCCTATTTCCTGTAATGTATGTGTGGACTAGAGTGGTAAATTCCTGACCAGCCCTCCCACTCTGCCTGTGAAATTTGACTTGTTTACTGTGTGAACTCTTGCAGCGCCACCTGCTTTTTTAGAAGCAGAAATTTTTTTTCCTTCCCATATCACTGGGAATGGACACCAGCCCTCCTATCTGAGAACTGGTGGAGGAAAGAGCTGTTGGCCTCTGACTGTTGCACGGTGGTGGAGTTGTGTGTCACTCTCTTGTTGGCCACGGTGATCTAACACTGATTCTGCTCAAGTAGCTCCAGGATCCTCTCCATCCTTCACTCTGTGGGGAGCCAGCCTTCTCACCTTGCTGATCAAAGGACAGCTCAACAGCTCACAGATGCACTTGGCCAAAAGCTGCTGGAGCCAGAGGCAGTTGAGTCATCTCCTGCTGCTCAGCCTGCCAAAGAGATGTGTGCACTGCCCAAGTGCTTTCTGAACTACTAATGCTCCAAGATCATAGCCTGAAAGCCTCAGTTACGCTGCTGCTTTTATAAAGCCTCACAGGCAGCAGACTGCCTCTTCCCCTGCTAGATTTCCAGGGTTTACCAAATCATTGACTGCAACAAGATGTTCATAGAGATTCTGAAAAATCCCACATCACCTGAGAAAACCAAACAGTGGCTCAAAAGTCTGGGTGCGTGCAGAGCAAGAGAAGATCCTGAGGTGTAGGCATGGCCTGAAGCCAGCGATGCCATCAGTTGACAAATGATTTTCAATGACTGTTCTCAGGCTGATGGTGACAGAAGGTGCTGATGCTGTGGCTTGGTGATGGAGGCACTGGGTACTCCTCTGTCCTCTCCCTGGCTCCCCTGGGTGGTGGTGGGTTGCTTGCACACAGGCACTGTTGTGCAGAGCTTTGCCCTGCACAGTTCTCTCCATAGAAGTGGCTCTTGGGGAGCCTTCCCTGGGGCAGCAGCTTGCTTATGAGAAACTGAAGTCAACACCAAGTATTGACTGCACTGTCTGAGAGTTCCCTCAATTGCCATCTGCTCATCTTCAATCTCAAAGGGGAACACAGCAGAAGTGGCTGCTGCTGTCCCAAGGAAGTTCAGGCTATGAAATTGTGAAACTTCCAGAATATTGTTTGTTCATTGCACAGCTGTTCAAAATGTTTAATAAAGCTTTATAGACTTTGGTCTGTGGACTATTGCCCTGACTACTGTTCGTCACAGCTGCCTTAGCCCAGCAGTCATGCAGCTCGGTGTTGTTTTGTTCCAAGAACAGTAATGCAGTCTCTAGCAAGAGGCAGAGCCCGTTGGCCCTGTAACTCGCAGTGCTGCCTCTAAGTGTTTAACCTAACCCTGGGCGAGCCAGGGAGCGTACTGGCAGTTCCCAGAACAAGCTCACTTTGCACACAGCACAGCAGGTGCTTCTGGCTGCATCTCCGCACTTCCATGACAGATTCCTCTCCTTTCCTTGCAGCTTAAGGAAGGCACAGAACTGACAGCCTAATCCCCAGCAGGGAGCCGTTCCCTGCAGAGGCACTGTGAGCCCATCCCACGCTGTGCAGTGCTGTGCCTCGTGTCAGCCCCTGCCCGCAGCTCTGCCCAGCGCTGGGTGAGATGGGCTCGTGGAAGCGCTGTGCCAGGCTACAACCAGTTATCAGCACACGTGGGAGCCAAAATGCACTGCTGGAACCAAAACCAACCTCTGCTCTCACTCCTGGCCACTGAGTCCAAGTTGGAAAGCATCCAGCATGTATCTGTTTGTACGTTTTAAAGTGTGTGCCACATCACCGAGGGGAGACGTGACAGCTCTGTCACCGAGCTACAGGGAATCCTTGTAGCTGCCAGTAGTTACAGCGTAAATAAACAGAAGGGAAAGGTACAGCTCGTTTGCAAGGCACGGCCGTGCAGTTGGAGCGCTCTGAGCAGCTTTTAAGTTTTGTTTATTTAAGCTATGAGGATTGTTTTATTTAAACTAATGCAGTCATCTCTTTTAAGAGTCCATTTGGGTTGCTAACTAACCAAGCTGCACTTCACTGCAATTTAAATAAATCCTAGCCACAAAGCCAGACAGTTTGGGTGAGAGCAAGCCCTGCCTTCGCCCATCAGCCCGACCCAGGACGCGGCTGCGGCTTCCCCAGTGCGAGGCCTGGCGTGGGGAGCGCGGCACTTCAAAAGAGGGACAGAGGCGGCGGCAGAGATCTCGACCGACGCTTAAGCAGCGTGCTTTTCGTGGTGCTCCCTCCCCAGATGTAGTGACGAGCCCTTTGATATGCACAGAGCCCTCACGGAGTGCTATCCGACGCTTCACAGCGCTGAGATACCATCTTCATTTTGAAGATAGAAAATTAAAGCAACTTCATCGCGGTCAGACAGACAGCCCGAGGTAGAGCAGGAACCCAGCCGGGATCCCATGCTAATGCCCTGATCCCCAGCTCATCCTCTATAAAGAGACCGCGAAAAACCAGCCTGCAACTGCAGAACAGGTCAAACCCGACCGCGTACCAAGAGCATCATCACAGCTTGTGCTCGTGCGCTGCGAATTGCACAGAGCCCACACGAGTGCAGTGCCTGCTCCAGCTACACAGCAGCATCGCAGTGCTCCCGGAGAGCCACCCCACCAGGAGGGCAGCACAGCTCCAGCACTGCCGTCCCTGCCTGCCCTCGGGACCGTGCAATGATGAGGAAAGCAACGGGGCTCAGAGCAGAGCAGTGCCAGGTCCTACGGAGCCCAGGCACTGCCCAGAAGGGATCTGGCACAGAACATCTCATCACCTTGTTTTATAATAAGGTGTCCATCTGCCTCGTGTTCCCTGGTTGCAGGAGCCTTAAGCCATCCCTTTGCCTTTCCATCATAACGAGGTCATTTTCTAGGTCACCCAACAGAGAAGCAGCACAGTGGGGTCAGGAGAGGAAAACGTCAGCCCTGCCACAAGCACACCCTGCTCTGCACCAGGGGCCCTTCTGCTGGGTCTGGGTGATAGGAGAAACCCTAGAGCCAGACCAAGACTCACTCCAGGGCACTGCAGCCCACACAGTGGGTCAGGACTGCTCCCTGCACAGTCACAAACACAGAAAATATACAGTGGGGCTTCCCACATCCCAACCCCAGCTCTACAGAACCCCTGCCCCACTGCAAGGACAAAGCCCAGGGCTGCAGCAGCCCTAGCAGGGTACCAACCACCCTTTCCCACCCATCACACACAGACTGAGGCATTCACCACCAAAGATACCCTCTCCGTCACTTAATTACTTTAGCAAGTAAATCATAAAGCATTAAACACTTAAGATGATGAAATCAACTCACCAGCCCTCAGAGGCAGAGCAGCACGCAGGGCACCAGAACCACCACAGGTCACTGAGGCTCAGCCACAGCCCCACTCTCTGAAGGCCTATTCCCACAAATCAATTACTTCATCACCAACTGAGGGATTCCAACCAGCATCCACTAATTACCCTAATGAAGCAAACCTGCTCCCAGCCAGCTCACTGAGCAGCAACTGAAGGAGGCTGTGATCAGCACAGACAGGGGTGTCCCAGGGCAGATGGATACAGGACAAAAGCTGTGTGTGCCCCATAGTTCTCTCACCCGACTGATGCTCCCCCCCCAGGACAACCCTGAGAGCCACGTGGGACCCTTTGGGGATGCCAAGAGGTCCTCCTTCACCATACACAACCCACAGCCATCTGTTTGGTGAGGTCTGTTTGTCTTTAATTATCAAATTGCAAAGTATTTACAACACCATCATCAGTTTCAAAGCATCTCCACCCTCCCCAACCCTCCCACCACACCAGACATGGTCAGATTTTTCCAAAGTTTTATTATTATCACAAAAAAAAAAAAAAAAAAAATCTTACTTTGACACTGAAAGGCAGAGGAGGAGTGGGCCGGGAGAAAAACAGATCCACACGTCCTCTGCACAGTTGATGGGAGATGTTACAAAATGCTTTAAAAAATGGTACCAGCAGAAGAGAAGGTCTCACACAGAGCTGCTTTGTGCCAAACATCACTGTGGGGGGTGTGGGGGAAGTAACCCCCTGCTCTTCACTGGCTTCAGCAACAGACCAGCAGTGGAGGGGAGGGCATGGGTGGGCTAGCAGCCCCCAGCGCTGCTCCATGCTACAGGAAACCAAAGGTTGTGTGTCCACGCGTGTGTTTGCCTTTTTTCCCCCTCCCCAGCTCTTGGCTCGCATCTGGCTGCTGCCCACTCCCACGTGCTGCTCTCAGAGCTTTTCCCTACGGCTGCAGGCACTGTGCACACTGTGTGGTGATGGCACACAAACATCACGGGATGCGGAGGTTAAAAGGTTGGGGTGCAGCAGACCCTGCACCAAGGTGGGCACAGGAAATGTGCTGGGGGATGAAGGGCTCTGAGTCCCATTGTGAGTACAGAAATCCATGGAAACAGTCCTCCAGGCCAAGGTGGGGTCCCTCCATACTGCTAAGAGCCCCTCCATACTGAGTTCACTATTAAAACAGAGCCACCGACTGAGAACTCGGGTAATAAATAAGATGGTGGGGAGTGAGTGGGAGGCAGCAGCAGCTCAGCTTGGTGCTCCGGAGGCATTTTTGGCACTGGGTGTGAGTGATGGATAAGAGGTCTGGGACAGAGGTGGCGATGGTGTGATGAGGGGCTCCAGCTGGGGACAGACGAGGACAGATGTTGGCGGTACCACAGGAGGAACACGACAGCACATGCAGCTTGGTCAAGTAGTGGGAGGTGCTGGAGGGCTATGTACAGGGTGGGTGCTTAGTGGGTGCTGCTGTGGACACTGGGCTGTTCATGGATCATTCTGACCTCCAACACACGGTACTGACAGCGAGCAGGGAGCAGCTGGGCCTGCAAATGGCTCCCGGTAGCTCCGTGCTCCCTGATATGGGGATGGCAGAAGCAGGGGGGATGGCAGCTAGGAACACACCAGTGGACAAAAGCAGTGCTAAAAGACAAGTAATTTCCCAAAACACTGAGTCCTGCGCCCAAGAACAGGTGGGTGCTGGAGGAAGGGAGACAGCCAGCCCCCATGGGGCATCCCAAGGTCTGCACTTCAGCTGCATCCAATTCAAAGCAGTGCCTTCCCCATCACCAAACGTCTCTGCAAACAGCCTCGGGCAGATCAGAGTGAAGTGGGTGGTTGAATGGGTAAAGAAATTTGTGCTGATTTTAAAAAGGGGGTGCAGGAGGTGTGGGGCAGTGTGTCTGAGGTGGGAGAGGCTATCCCCCAATTTCTCTGGCTGCTGTGAGAAGAGGGTCCTGAAAGCCGTGGCTGTGCCAGGAGCCATCCCGCTGCTCCGCTCACCATCCTGAGCCCCAGCTCCACTGGTGGCAGTGCCCAGGACTCCTCTCGCCACCTCGTTAAGTGTGGCCCAGCAGTTTTATGAGCAATGGGGCAGCCGGCACCTCACCATGCCACATCCTGCTCTGGGGCTGCTCCCCAGAATGTGGCCCCTCTGCATGGAGCCGGCCCTCTGTGCCCCACAGTGAGGCCTCTGGTGCCAGGAGGAGCTCCAGGTCTATAGGTTCTCTCCAGGCTGGTACTGGGGCTCTGTCGAGGTGAAGTAGTCCTCCAGGAAGGCCTGCAAGTACTCAAAGGTGGGCCGCTCCTCAGGGTCCTTGCGCCA